TATCCCCTGAGCGTAAAACTGCCAGAGCTGCCACAGTGGGCGGAGCTAAGCATTGACTTGACTCGTCTTCTCTAAAACAAAACGACAGCACAATAGTTTTATAATTTGCACATTATAATATTACGTCATCAATGCAGACTCAGCGGCGTGTAAGCCTCGATAGATGGATAGGTCCGATATTGTCAATGTCCAAATTTAAGTAGATAATCGCAGCAGCAACAGTTACGCATAAAAAAAAATATAATAATGTCTACTTTGTTCTGAACTTTATTTGTTGAAATTGCTGAAAAACAATTTTATGCAAGAATAATACACACAGAACACTAGTCCAGTATTTAGTCCAGTCCTGCTTTAGTCAAGTTTTAGACCTTCTTTAGTCCTGCTTTAGTCCTGCTTTAGACCTTCTTTAGTCCCGCTTTAGTCCTGCTTTAGTCCTGCTTTAGACCTTCTTTAGTCCTGCTTTAGTCCCGCTTTAGTCCTGCTTAAGGGTGTATTCAGACCTGAAAAGTCCTTTGCTCCGCTTGCTTGATCCGAATCAAAAGCGGACCAAACTTTTTTCTTTTGCTCCGGTTTGTATTCAGACTGTCCTTTTTGCAAGTGAACTTTTTTTTATAAACATATTGACACGTGTGACGATCGGCGCTCCTATTGGACAGTGAGAGCTCACGGAGGATAGATGCGGAACCGGAGGAAAACATTGAGGGCTCGTATGTGCAGCATGTCTGCTCTGCCTATGTTTGCTCTTTTTAGAGCAAAACCACCTTCAACAGCAGCTCATATGACACAGGCGAAACACGTTGTTTTAAATATTGGAACAGCGTCGGAGAATGCGTGAGGAGAAAGCCGAAGGAGACTGTCTGTGCGCTCCGTGCCCTGTCCCACACATGGATCTATTATAATAACCCTGTTCCACAACTTACTGACAGCAGCATGTGGATAAACCATGGATCTATAATAACCACGGGATAAACAGACGCAGAGGATCAGGTCGGAACCAAAGAACACAATTCACTACATGATGCGGAATAATGCTCTTTGAGACGTGAGTCAAACAGTGTCAGGCTTTTAAGAATGCAAATGGTTTGAAGATGCTGCCATTAACATCAATGTATACTGTGAACAGTTGTAACTCCATAAGCCTGTTGCACAGCGTCTCCTCATTGCTCCAGGTCTGCACACGGCTCAGTGTTGTTGTGTAGCGTTAGCAGCATAGTTAGCAGCATAGTTAGCTGCATAGTTAGCCGCTGCGTGGCTAATTCCTCAGTTTCTGTCTGCGGCTTGTTAAGCCCGAAAAATGCGCACGTATCTTGGAGTTGTGTCGGATCGACACCGGATGTATTCAGACCTGATTCGACTTGGACCAGAATTCGTTTGGAAGCGGACCGAGACCACCTCAAAAAGTGGGTCTCGGTTCGGTTCTTTGGTCCGGACCAGGATTCGTTTGTGTGTATTCAGACCTGCATAAAAGATTCGGATCAGAGTTCCAAACGAATCCTGGTCCGTTTAAAGTGGAGCAAATGTGCAGGTCTGAATACACCCTCAGTCCCGCTTTAGTCCTGCTTTAGACCTTCTTTAGTCCTGCTTTAGACCTTCTTTAGTCCTGCTTTAGTCCCGCTTTAGTCCTGCTTTAGTCCTGCTTCAGACCTTCTTTAGTCCTGCTTTAGTCCTGCTTTAGTCCCGCTTTAGTTCGTCTTTAGTCCTGCTTCAGACCTTCTTTAGTCCCTCTTTAGTCTTGCTTTAAGTAAGTAAGTATCTTTATTTAAATAGCTCATTTTTACAGACTAAAAGCGCTTTGAAATGTTTAGTCCATCTTTAGTCCTGCTTTAGTCCTGCTTTAGTCCATCTTTGGTCCATCTTTAGTCCACCTTTAGTCCTGGTTAAGTCTATCTAACGTCCGGCTTCAGTCCCTGTCCGCGGGGTGTCAGGCTGAGTGAGGGCTTCTCTGGGACTAAACCCTGGGCGCGGACTGTAAGGCTGCGGCTGTGATCGACAGAGTGGTTAGCATAAACCAGGACCACCTCAGGGCCCCACTTAGAACGGGGACAGCAAATCGATCTGGACCCCACTGTCTGAGGAAAGCGGAGAGCAGGGATCTGAACATGATTTACAACGACAACATCTGTACCGCGCAATAGATATGAACGAGAGCAAGAGTTAGTGTTGAGTTTAGCTCTCACACATGATCCGGAGATTATTTCTTCAGGCATTTATTTTGAAAAAGGAAATTAAAGTAGAAAATGTTATGGATTATTCTTCTTACCAAATGTTGTTTTCATGTTTTGGATAATGAGCAAATCTCAACACACATTACAGTTATTTATTGTTCTGACATAGTTCAACGACAACTATTTAATTATTTATCTATTATCTTAAAATAATAGATTCAGAGTGATGCATGGAATCTGAGTGTGTTTATTTCCTCTCTTTATTCTGCTGTAATTTGTGCATCGATGACATTGAAATAACCTCACTGTGGGACAAGTAAAGGATTACCCAAACTTAAATATCAACTAATATTATCTGGATATCTTTAGCAACATCTTCTGTTTAGTTGGACAACCCTAAAGTGGGTGTATTATGGATCTGATCTGTGTTAGTGAAACACCTCTATCTCATTCTAGTGATGAGAAATTACATTTAGCTAGATCTAAATCTAACAATGACATTACCTGAGTAAAATGATATATGCGCAAGACCCGATTGACAGGCAGACAATCACCTCCAAACATCTGCACACTGGAAGGAGAGGTGCGCGTTTACAATAGTTCATGGCCGTTTATTTGGGCTAAGAGACGTGTTTTGAACCAAAGCTGTCTTGCCGTCCTTTCCTGTTCTGTGATTTGTCCCCAAATCCATGCCAACATTTTGTCCTGAGTTTCCAGGCTCTACACAGTTTTAAAGTATTTGAGAATTCAGCATGAGAAAACCACAAAATTGATTTATCTATTCAATGAAATATATCTAACTTACTCTTTGGATCAGCCTTTTCAGACAGAAAAGTGAAAAAGATATCACTCATGTCAAATAGGATTATTTGCTCTTATTACATGTTGTTTAATACTAAAGTTATTTTAATTAGTATAGTTATGGTTCACTTATCTTGTGCTGTGTGCTCCTCATTCTTACTGTTCTGTAACTTGTGATGCAACACTGAAATGTCCCTAATGTGGGACAAATAAAGGGTCTCTTAATCTTAATTTGTGATAAAGTTTGGACCCACCCAACCCATTCAATAATGTCCAACCAAAAGTAAATAGTAAACACAACTCTATGTGGCACTTAGGCAAAAACAACTTCAGCATCTCTTTACTGCGACAGATCAGCCAGTTTCAGCACAGTGCATTCTGGGAGGGGGTGGAGCAGTGTTTTATGAGAGAACGGCGCCCCCTGGGTCTACTCACATCTGCAGCTCTGGTCTCGCTCCTCTGTCTGTGATTAATGGGCTGTGGTCATGTGATGGTCACAACGCCACGCACGGGTCATGTGACTCATTTATCATCCACTCGTCACACCTGGTTTGGTCCAGACTTTGGTCCAGTCCAGTTTTAATGAGCCTGGTCCAGATCCGCGTCGGTCCTTGTTAAAGAACACATAACGTGCTTCTCCCGTCACGTCGTATCGCAACCTCAGTGGATTCATGGTCACATCCAGCGCTCCGACTGCTGATAAAGTACATTTTGTTTTCTATGTTCAAATTAAAATGACGTCCTTGTGTCTCCTTTAACATCTGTGACATCTTGGTGTCTTCTCTGGTAATTGTGAAAAATATTTAAAGTTTGGCCTCTCTGATGGTAAAGCGGCTCGTTCTTATATGAAAAAAAAACATCCAGTTCCTGTAAAACATGAAACAAATCGGACCTCAACATGCTTCATCTTAGGAAACATGTGGTCTTTTGCATTTAGAAAGAGCCCTTTGAGTCACACTTGAATTGGATTATGCTTAAAAACTCTGATTGTTGAAGTTTTTGTTTTGTGCTACATGTTTCCATCATTGGTGTATGAGAATCTGTGTAACGTGTCATCTTTGGACATATTGTCACTGTTGTAAAAGGGGTTCGACAGGATTAGTCTTGATTTCAGCCTCAACCCTTTCTGGTCAGGCTTTTTTTTGCTCTAAAATTATTTATATACAAGATTTGGTTATTTTTTTTCTTATTGTAAAATGTTTAAGATCTTTGAAAACATGTGACCGAACAAAAAAACTACAGTTGTAACTAACAGGCCATAATTATATGCGAAAGCCAGATCCCATCAGACTTCTGAAGCTATGCAGGGCAGGGCCTGGTTAGTACTGTGATGGGAGACTTCTGGCAAGACCAGGTGCCACAGTGGGGCGTCTGTTGTTGTGTCCTTAGGCAAGACACTTCACCTATATTACCCAGAATGAGTCTGGTGTGTGTGAATGGTTGGTGGTGGTCGGTGGGGCCAATGGCACATACTGGTTGCCTCACTTCTGTCAATGTGCCCCAGGGCAGCTGTGGTTAAAGTTTTAGTTTATCACCATAGTGTATGGAGTGAAAGAAATATCAAATGTGAAGCGTCTTTTAGTGTCCAAAAAAGCGTTGTTTAAAACCGATGCATTATTACTATTATTACTACTACTATTTGACACTTTGAGCTGATTGGTTGAGTGGTCCTGTTTATGTTTTCTCACTTTTCTCTCTAAAAAAGTTGATCGAAAGACGTGACAAAAGCCAAAAATACAATCAATATTTAGTAGTAATAGAAACTGTTTTAGAACAAGTATATGCAGTAACATGGATTTATTTCATATATTTCTGTTGTTGGAATGTTAGGAACCCAAGCTTTAAAAGTAATCCGAATTTTTCTTCACGTCCCTCACTAGACCTAATACTACCAGCACAGACTAATGATGGAAAGCTGCCCTAACCAATCCGTACACTTCGTTTACTCTGCCCATTAAAGCTCTTAAACTGTGCACACTTGTCTCCTTCAGGTCCCATTTGAGCCTCCTTTCATGTCTCCTTAAGGACCGTGTGATGTCTCCTCGACTCCCCAGCATGCCCCGGTGCGACGGCACGGCCTCCGATCGCTCACGTCGCTACGTATTAGCTCGTTTGATCCGCGTTTATACCTCGGGCCTGCTGAATATTAATACGGGCGCAGTGAGGAGTGAGCGGATCAAAAGCAGCAGCAGTGGGAAGACCAGACAAGATGGCCGCCATCACTGACCTTTGCCAGAATTAGAGACGATGATTATGGAAGGCAAAAGGGGAGATCCTCCAGGAATTGGAATGAAATACAATTGGTGGACTGTTAAAAGCATCTTCTTATTCCGGCTGATTATGCCATTGTGTCAATCAATAAACTGTGAATGAGAAAAAATCTATGTCCATGTGTCAAAATGTATACTGTGTTTATGAGAGAAGTCTTATTCCTTTAGATTCACCGCTATCACACATGGCTGAGTATGTTCAAATAAAATCAGTTTATTTTGTACCTCACAGAATTGTCAATTCACCAACAGCAAACACACATGTACAATTAAACACGTAAACGTCATTGCTCCATATTATAATAACCAATGTCCCTGATCATCACATGTCCCAAGACCCATATGCGTAACCCTAAACCTAACCCAGTGGGAGAAAAGAGTAACCTTGGGGCCAACCACAGTGAAAGAGGGATCCACAGACAGGCAGTAGGACTAGGACTGAGGCTTTAGATCCAGGACTGAGGCTGTAGATCCAGGACTGAGGCTGTAGATCCAGGACAGAGTTACTTTTATTTTATCTGCAAAAGGATCTGTCTGTGGGACAGGGAATGCTCCACATCAATAAGAGCAAACTGAGGTGAAGGCAGAGGATCTGTTTGGCATTCCTCCTGGGTGCCTCCCTGGAGGCATGTCTCACCAGAAGGAGGCCTTGGGGAAGACCCAGGACATGCTGGAAGGACTTTGTCTCTGAGACGGCCGGTGAATGCCTCTGGATTCTTTTGAGGTTTGTATCGAGAGTGATATCTGGGCTAGAGCTGGAACTATATACGTAATACTAGAATGGCATGAAACTGAGATACAGCAACAGCATTTGTGCATGCAATATTTTCATTTTGGATGAAAACATGATTTTAAGACAGGTTTAACTGGCTCCTCTTACAGATCTGAGGGAAATTCAGTCATTCCCACTTTCTATTTTAATTCTAGCAAATTATTTGATTATTTTACTTCATTTTCAATGTTTGCTCCTGGTTTTAAAACCATAGGCCCAGTGTTGCCAACTTAGCGACTTTGTCGCTAGATTTAGCGACTTTTCAGACCCCTATAGCGACTTTTTTTCAAAAAAGCGACTAGCGACAAATCTAGCGACTTTTTCTGGTGTTATTGGCGACTTATCTGGTGTTTTGGCGACTTATCTGGTGTTTTGGAGACTCGTGAAGCACGTATTGTTCTGCTGTCCTCAACGTGAGCCCCTCCCCCGTCCCAAAGCACTTACAGGCGGCCAGTCTCACAGTAGCCTTGCGCAGCAGTCCCAGCTACAGTCTATGGGCGGAGCAGAGAGAGAGAGAGAGAGGAGACTCAAAAGCACAGGAAGTTTTCAGGCTGCTGCAGACTGAACTTCAGCTCCACCACCACCACACATCCAAAGCTCCCCGGCCACTCCTACCACCGCCACCCCCCACTACCCCCCACTCCATCCGCGGCAGCTCTGTCCGTGACTCTGTTTTCTCTCAGTAGTGGGTCACATTAAATCATTTGTTATGCCAAACTATGAAAAAAAAAAAAACTTACAAAAATAAACCTAAGTAACTCTGCCAGAGTGTGTCTTTTGGGTCACTTTGCCGGTCCCAAGCCCGGATAAAGGAGGAGGGTTGGTTGTAGAGCTAGCAATTTCACCCTACATAACAATCTTTTGATTACATTTGCTGTTATAACATTTAACAATACAGGACAAAACTGATGTGTGTAATGTGGATCTAGACAAAGCATTAAAATCATTAAATGTTGTTAATGTTGAAATTATTTTGTACATTTGTAGTTCTAAACATATTTAGGGTGTTTTTACTCACTTTTGTCTCTCCCACGACCTTATTCCTCTCTCCTACAGCGTCCGTTACAGTTATTTGCAAATGGCAAATTATGCAAATTAGGCGATGACGTCATTTAGCGACTTCTAGCGACTTTTGGGACAGCCAATAGCTACTTTCCTTACTGAGGAGTTGGCAACACTGCATAGGCCTGGTGTACTGTCCTGAAAACCAGAGGCCTAGTTCCACAGGAGGTGTGTGTACTGTCCCACAGACAGGTGTGTGTGTACTGTCCCACAGGCAGGAGGTGTGTGTACTGTCCCACAGACAAGAGGTGTGTGTACTGTCCCACAGACAGGTGTGTGTACTGTCCCACAGGCAGGAGGTGTGTGTACTGTCCCACAGACAGGTGTGTGTCCTGTCCCACAGACAGGTGTGTGTACTGTCCCACAGACAAGAGGTTTGTGTACTGTCCCACAGACAGGAGCTGTGTGTCCTGTCCCACAGACAGGAGGTGTGTGTACTGTCCCACAGACAGGAGGTGTGTGTACTGTCCCACAGACAAGAGGTGTGTGTCCTGTCCCACAGACAGGAGGTGTGTGTACTGACTCACAGACAGGAGGTGTGTGTACTGTCCCACAGACAGGAGCTGTGTGTCCTGTCCCACAGACAGGTGTGTGTACTGTCCCACAGACAGGAGGTGTGTATACTGTCCCACAGACAGGAGCTGTGTGTCCTGTCCCACAGACAGGTGTGTGTACTGTCCCACAGACAGGAGGTGTGTGTACTGTCCCACAGACAGGAGGTGTGTATACTGTCCCACAGACAGGTGTGTGTACTGTCCCACAGACAGGAGCTGTGTGTCCTGTCCCACAGACAGGTGTGTGTACTGTCCCACAGACAGGAGGTGTGTGTACTGTCCCACAGACAGGAGGTGTGTGTACTGTCCCACAGACAGGAGGTGTGTGTACTGTCCCACAGACAGGTGTGTGTACTGTCCCACAGACAGGAGGTGTGTGTCCTGTCCCACAGACAGGAGGTGTGTGTCCTGTCCCACAGACAGGAGGTGTGTGTCCTGTCCCACAGACAGGAGGTGTGTACTGTCCCACAGACAGGAGGTGTGTGTACTGTCCCACAGACAGGAGGTGTGTACTGTCCCACAGACAGGAGGTGTGTGTCCTGTCCCACAGACAGGAGGTGTGTACTGTCCCACAGACAGGAGGTGGTGTGTTGGTGAAGTCCATTATTCTGCCCCATCGATCGCCCCTGGCTCTGGGTCAAACTGAGCGTGTGCATAAAACATGAGCCTGGTGCATGCTGGGAATTGGAGTCCAGTCTTCATGACTGAATTCATGAGTTCAGAGCAGGTTAAGGGTCAACGGGCGCTTCCACAAAACTGACCCCAGCGGGACTGAAGCAGGACTGAACAAAGACCGAATCAGGTCTAAAGCAGGACTGAACCAGGTCTAAAGCAGGAATAAAGCAGGACTACAGAGGGGCTAAGCATGGTCTAAAGCAGGACTGAACTAGATCCCTACATAAAACACTTTCAGATGTATGTTTTTATTTGGAACCATATTGGATTAAATGTGCACATGTCCCCAGTGTGCACCAGACAAGTGCACACCAGAGCTCTTTCCAGGGAGCCCTGTCTTGGCTCCACCTTGGGCCCCAATGTTTCAAAAGCAATGAAGACTTGTTTCTTTGCAAGCCTACGTTTAGAGTGTGTATGATAGGTTGAACTATACCCATCCTCCTGAAATACTATTCAGGGCAAAAACTGAACCATGATACAACATCTCCTCAAAAACAGACCTGGAATTTTATGCACAAATACATACAATCCTTCTGTAAATGATTTTTTTTTTGTAACATCCTCAAAATTGGTGTCGCTGGCACTGCCCTAGGTTGGTTTAGGTCTCACCTTGAAGACAGGAAGTACTTTGTGGAGATTGGAAACTGTGTCTCAGATCATATGGCCCTGACCTTTGGAGTACCACAGCGGTCGATCCTGGGACTTCTTCTGTTCAATGTCTACATGCTGCCGTTACGGAGAAATTAAGTGTCCTATCACAACTCCATGTCACAACTCTATGTCTCACTGACTGCAGGAGAACATGGACCAGTGGACTCACTCCTTCACTGTATCCAACAGATCAGTGAGTGGATGCAAAACAACTTCCTTCAGCTAAACGCAGACAAAACCGAAATGATTGTCTTTGGTCCCCGGAAATCAAGAGAGCAGCTCGAGTCCTGACTAGAACCAGGAAGTACGACCACATTAGTCCAGTCCTCAGGTCTCTGCACTGGCTTCCTGTGGCTCAGAGAATAGACTTTAAAACAGCTTTGCTTGTGTACAAGTCTCTCCATGGCCTCGAACCAAAATATATTAGTGACATGTTAGTCCCATATGAACCAGCCCGGACTCTGAGGAGCACAGGGACTGGACTCCTGTTAGTGCCCAGAGTCAGAACTAAACATGGGGAGGCTGCATTTCATGCTGCTATAATCTGGAAAAATCTTCCTGAAGATGTGAGACAGGCCTCCTCTCTGACAATGTTTAAAACCAGGTTAAAGACAGTTCTGTTTAACTGTGCATACAACTGAGGGATTTTATATTTATTTTTAATGCACTGTCTTGTTAAGCACTTTGAGTTGCCTTGTGTATGAATTGTGCAATACAAATAAACTTGCCTTGCCTTCAAAAAATAGTTTGAGGAATTCCCCACTCTTTCTTTTTTCACGTCACCCCATATAGCGAGTGCGTCTGGGGAAGAATGTCTCGGACTCTCGGATTATAAATACAGGAGCCCCACAGGGCTGTGTTCTTTCTCCCCTGCTCTTCTCCCTGTACACCAACCACTGCACCTCCAGCCACGACTCCGTGAAGCTGATCAAGTTCGCGGACGACACCACCCTCATTGGACTCATCTCCAACAACGATGAGTCCGCCTACAGGAGGGAGGTGGACCGGCTGGTGTCCTGGTGCAGTGGTAACAACCTGGAGCTGAACGCCCAGAAGACAGTGGAGATGATTGTGGACTTCAGGAAGAGCACAGCCCCCCCACCCCCACCCTCCGTGATGGACTCCCCCATCACCACTGTGGAGTCCTTCCGTTTCCTGGGCACCACCATCACCCAGGACCTCAAGTGGGAGCCGACCATCAGCTCCCTCATCAAGAAGGCCAGCAGAGGATGTAATTCCTGCGGCAGCTCAGGAAAGCCAAGCTGCCTGCACAGATGTTGGTGCAGTTCTACACGGCCATAATCGAGTCCATCCTCACCTCCTCCGTCACCGTGTGGTTCGCTGGAGCCACAGTCAGGGACAAGCAGAGACTACAGCGCATTGTGGGCTCTGCAGAGGAAGTGATCGGCCGCAGCCTTCCATCGCTGCAGGACCTGTACGTCGCCCGAGCTCGAGGCCGGGCTGGTCGTATCACAGCCGACCCCTCTCACCCTGCACATGGACTATTCCAACCACTCCCCTCAGGCAGGAGGCTGCGGTCCATCAGGACTAGAACCTCCCGCCACAAGAACAGTTTCTTCCCCTCTGCTGTTGGACTCTTGAACACTTCTTAACCTGTCCCCCCGCCCTTTATAAAGTCACTTTACTGCCCATCATACGTCACTTTACTTCACTGTACTGCTGTCACCTTACATTGTGTGCACCATGTGCACTTGTATATTGTAAATAGTAACTGTAACTCTATTTTAAATATAAATGTATTCCTTAGAAGTGTTTTTTATTCTTATTTTTATTATTTATTTTTATTTTGTCTTTCTGACCGTTGCACTGAGCCAAAGCAATTTCCAAGTCTGTGACTTCCTGTTACTTACGTGGCAATAAAAATGATTCTGATTCTGATAAGATATTTACAAAAGAAAAATATAAATATTCCACTTGCACCACTACATAGAGGTTTTTCTACTCATCATTTCTAATCCATGAATAACGTTTATCCACACTGTTGTTGGGTAAAACAGAACGGAGTAATTTTAATTGTCCAGATAAACATGTAGTATGTGTTTGTAGTTAGGTGGGAGAAAAGATCACCACTCTGCCACATTAGCATCTGTAATATTTACAACACTTTTCTCCACAGACTTCTCCATCCAAACTCGGCTTTTGGCCTGAGAGCACCAAACACTACATTTTGAGCCGTGATTTCTCCGTGATGAATTGAAATGTAAAATTTATGTGTCCGCAGATATTTAGAGGCGATCAGGGCGTAAACACTCACCTGGCAGACATTTGGAATATTTATGAGGATTTTCACATGGCATGGAGGCTCATTATTTACTGTACTGTATGTGTTCAAGCCGACTTTTCTCATTAGTAGTTTACAAAAGTCTTTTAGTTCAGTCTTTCAGTCAGAGCCATTATTGTAACTACAGTCAGAGTCTGAATTAGTGAGTGAGGGTTCCATCGCTCGTCTTTCAAAGTTTTTTTATGGGGTCTTTACATATTTTGAGATGAGACAAACTTTAGTGATCTCACAATGGAGAAATGTACATGTGACAGATAGATAGATAAAAATAAAATTGATCATTCTAAAAAGTTAAAAATAGTAATAATCAGCAAAAGCCCTTCGGGTCACAGCAGCAGAGGTGGAGTAGCCTCTGGGTGGAGCAGGACAGTTTAAAAGGTGGTGTAGCCGCTTGGTTCGGACCATTTTCTCTGCTCTAGTCCAAAGTAAAATGCTAAATGCTTCATTAGCATTTTCTAAAAGTTAGCCTTCCTCCAGTGGATTTTCACCTGATCCACTTGGTTCGGACCATGAATCCTCTCTGCTCTGGGTTGGACCAGTGTAAAAACATGAACACTGTACTGCAGCAACATCTCAGGCAGAAAAAAGCAATACAAATAAAAATACAAAAGCACAAAACTACAACTGTTTCAGAGACACTTAGGACTTACAGCCGTTTTCCAGAACATTCAAAAATTTGTATTCATAGTATTATACGTATTGTACTTTACATACACGAAGAGTGGAGCTCTTTCACATTCTGACACAAAATGCCAGAAATAAAAAACATGAAAACATAATCACTCAAACATACAACAATGAATTCCTACAGTCGGCGTGGACTCGATTTCTCTTTTCCCCCGGGCTTCCTCAATAAAACAAAAACATTTCTTACAACGCATTACAATATTACAATAAAAAAAAAAAGAAGTGTTTTGCAAATACGTTTGTGACAAGTGTGTCGGTAGAAGCTGATGCTCCCAGGGCTGAACAGAAGCAGACGCAATGTAATTGAAGGGACACAGTTTTAAAGAACGTATATGACCCGAGAAATCCTCAAAACTTGGTGGAAACTGATGACGTAAAAGGTAGAAATGAACAGTCATCGACATCGCACAACCCCCAGTTCACACCAGGCAACTCGTCTGACACTGCAGTGATAAGAATGAATATAAGTATAGATTATATATTGTGTTTGTATGGATGGATGTGTTTCTGCTGCTACTGGACACCTGAATTTCTCTTACGGGGATCAATAATGTGTCTACCTATATTGATAGCTGTGCGTAACCTAATCACACCCGTTATACACGTGTTATTCACTGCTGGTGTTAAGTGTCGGACTCATTCTTCTCTGAAAATGTTCAAATCTATGTTAAAATAGTTCTGTTTAGCTTTACAATACATACAACTGGAAATTCTATCTTCGCTCTTTTTAATGTGCCGCGATTATTTATGTGTTTTGTTAACACTTTGAGTTGTCTTGTGTAAGAACTGTGCGATACAAATAAACTTGCCTTGTCTCATTACAATGGAAAGCTGGTCATGGACATAGCCTGCGTTTACATCCTACAGATGCGCTGAAGATTATAGGTGTAAATTGGGTTAAAATCAGTGAAAACAGACATTTAGGCAAAAGGGGCGGGGCATGTGTTTGCACTGACAGTTCCTTATATCAGCATGGATGGACCTCAAAACCATTCCAGGTCTGTTAGTGATGAGAAACCACGTCGAAACAATAGACACAATTTTACATAATTAGCCTCTATCTCCGGAGATTGCTAAATAAATTCCATTCACCAACATGGCAGGTTTGCTTTAGCTTTCTTACAACTCTCAAACTCTACACTCTATTTTTCATCACAGCTCTGTTCATGCCCGGTGTGAACTTGCAATATTCAAAACTCAATTGCACGTTCTCTGTAGCCGTTAGCACAACTTTAGCATTCTCACTTTGGTCAAACAAACTTTGCTCGTGCCCCGGTTGAATCCTCGTCCAATATTTCCCTGTCCTTAGACGCTTAACTCCTCGACACAACACCGCTAACCACACATTTCATATTCTCCCATCTCTGTAAAGTGCGAAACATGGCAACGCCGGCTGCCTTTGCGAAGTTACGTTTACCTTTGCTCCAATCGATTTGCAATATTTATCACAGTCCATAGACATTTCATTCAGCGTCTATAAGCTCGCACCTCGGCTCATTTCGCAGTCTGGCTTTATCCTGTTTGACTTTTTCTTCGACTCCAGGTGATGCGAGAGACTTAAAACAGAAAGAAAACACTCGTAGCAGCGCGTTAAAAATTCCACCTTTAGCGACCGTTCGTGCGTGTTGCTAGCTTCTTCCTCGGCCCGGGCTTCTTTACATTATTTATGAGGCTGTTGTCCGTCTTTGGTGCGCTGCTGGACTTGCTTGGCTCTGTGTCTGAAGTGAGTTTTCAAAGTTGAGAGAAAGAAAAGGCATACAAGATGATTTTTATCGAGAGGTTTTGGCCTCGGATACGGTCTGCAGAGAGCGGAGTGAGAAGGGGTAGAGGACATAAACACTGCTACTCAACAAGAACAGGTTTAGACTGGGTTTGCTAAAGTTTTTGTCTTGTCCAAACTATGCGCAATTGTGACCCTTCATCACTATCAAGGAAACTTTTCCCGCTTCAAAAACAATACATTATGTTTGTCCATAAACAAAGTCTTGTAAAAGTGAAAGGTTGTGAACAAATCAGACCACTAGACGCTGTTTTCATCTAATTTTTTATTTTTTTATTTATTAGTTTATTTGAATAGGGACGTACACATACATCGACATTACTGTAAATATGTGAGTATTAGCAATGCAGCTAGTTTCCAACTGTAGCCCTGAGGCAAGGTGGAAAATGCAAGCTCTCAGTCGCATCTTATTCAATTCTATTTTCATTTCAACGTATTTTTCTATAGCCTCAAATCACAACAGTAGTTCTCTTGTAGGACTTCACAAAACCGTTGATTCGCCGTCACAGAATCAAACAGTGCAAACCCAAGAAATCCGATGTCCGACATGTTGATAAAGTCCATACTGTACATGTCATTGAATGTTGAGTGAGTAAACATATTTTTTATAGTTTGAAGAAATAGCCCTGTGAGTCACTAATCAAATATCATCCCGGGAACCAAGATAATTCATTCGTGAGCCGGATCTGGCCCCCGGGCCTTGACTTTGACACCCATGCTTTAGTCTGTTATATTTAAACAAAGTGAGTTCAGAGCTCACCGTTCATGTGAGAGTCTTTTATTGAATAATAATGTCTTGTGTGAAAACGATCCTGTGTCCTGAATGCTCAAAGATAACGTTTCTGCGCTTCATGAAAAGGTTCATGTTGGTAAGTAACACACCTGGAACACGTGACATTATTTTATTACACAAATTCTTTCTTCACACTGAAAGAATTACTTTCACTAGACTTCCGGGGTAAAAAGTAGCAACAAATTATCAGCTTTGAGTCTATGCCAGAGTGTTGGTTTTCCATTTTGTGGGTGAGATTGACAGATGAGACACATTCTGTAAAACTAACTTTATGGGTGGTTTTTACACCATTAGTGGATCTTAACAGGAGCTGCTCTTTGCCTTTGGTCCAGTCTGGTTTCAATTCAAGCAGCTGAACTCATTTTGATCATAGAAATATAAAAGACATGAATGATTCTTACTCCTGTTGGCTTTGTTCTACATTTTTTTACTTTCTCTACTGTTATTTATTAATATATTTATTATTAATAAGTTATTATGGCCACACCCCCATTGCCGCTTTTCACTCGTGTCGTATGCAAAACAAACCAGCCTCAGTCGTTTCACTGATTTGGCTCATGCCACTAACAAAGATATAAACATACAACTGTGTATTTCTTGCACTAGAATATACAGTGTTTTGTACTTGCTTCTTTATTAGGTCAGAGATTTTGTAATTCATTCTTACCTCTTATGCTAAAGCATTTATCTTATTTAGATATAGAAGTTATTGTTAATTTACCTTGTGCTCCTCGTTCCTATTGTTCCACTTTAACACTGAAATTTCCCCACCGTGGGGCGAATAAAGCAACTCTTAATCTTGGCAAAATTTTGCTCCACATCGTCTAACTCCAAACACATGTCGCAAGTTAGCTACAGAATTGTGATCGGTTAAACAGTGTAGGAGCCGCTGAGACACACATTTGGATTACTTCTTTTCCGAATTAGATTGTTCCAAATTTGCTCGTGTTTCCAAATACAAAGTTGCATTAGCACCAAATGTCAATCGGTTGTTGATCTCTTGGGTCCAGGTCAGCTGAATGTGAAACACATGAAATTGAAGCATTTTTGTTGCATTAAAACTGTATTCGGACAGCAGACCGATTTTAAATTACATTCAAATCAATGGAGCGTTCTACTGCAGCTGTGAGGAGCCGTACAGCACATTTCTTAACATACAGTACGTGGACAGTGGTCATCCCGCTCCCTATGGACCAATGGCTCCTGTTATTTGTTATTATTGTATTTCTTGTGTTTGCTGAGCAGAAGACTCATCAAGGTCTGTTGTACAGTCTGACAACCGAAGGAAAAAAGGATCCCTTGAAACGTTCCGTTCGGCAGCGAAGTGATACAAGCCTGTTGCCACGATTACTCCTCTTAGCGGTCATAGTGTCATGCCGAGGGTGTCTGGAGTTACCCAGGAGGCCCTGCATTAGAGCCCACATCCTTCTCTCCAGCACAGCTCCCACAGAGTCCACAACTCTCCCCATCACAGAAATCTGATCTGTAGCTGAGGAATCTAACATTTTGTAAAGTTCTGGTGAGAGGCTTTACAACCACTGAAATTGACCAACTCAAACTACAAGTGGTTAATGAACGCCGGCTGAGGAGAAAGTCAGAGGATGAGATGGGCATGGAACTTGTGGGTTTTAAGAAGGACATGGTGACCCAAGCTTCACTGGTCAAAACTAGAGAGAGTACCATCTGCAGGAAGAGGTGGAACAGCTGAAGAGGATGAGATCGTTCGACCAGCAGAAGTGTCATGAAGACAACACGATTGGTGCTCTATCAGAGGCAAATGGGGTTCTATCAGAGGCAAATGAATGAAGCGTCCAACAGTAGAAGCAGGAGCTCAAAGACATAAAGTTTAATTTGCTAAAGAGAACAAAGCAGATCATATGTGCTCACAAGATCCAACTCAACCGACAAGCCAAAGCAATGCAGGACGTGAAGGCAGAACTGCGCAAAGTGAGAGAAGAGAATACAGCTCAATCAGTCAGAGGAACTAAAGGCACATATTCTGACAAGGAACTGAGAAATAGAGAGTTTGACAAGCAAGGTTGCTGAACTCAAAGACATGACTTGAAAAGATTTTCTGCAGCAACACCAAGAATGGCATTTGGAAAGACAATTTCTCTGCCTACGAACCAAGGAAGCTAAGTCACAATTGCTAAAGAAGGAGAAGGAAAGCTCAATGCTGCATGAGAAGAATGCTCCATTGGAAGTTTCTTCGGGAAATCTCAAAAAAGAACTGGAGGAGCTTTCAAAGACATGTGGCGAACTGGATGGACGACTGCAAGAAGAGACTCAAGAGAAGATTCTAGTGCGGTAGGAAATCCAGGATAAAGACATGAAGATGGACGTGATGGGAGATGTGATCAACAAGTCCAGGGACCGAAAGATAAAGCTGAACCTGCAGGTACAGGAGGTTCAGCTCCAACTCCAAACGGAGAAAGACACCAACCAATTCCTGAACAAGTCGCTGAAGGAGCTGAAGCAGGAGAGAGAAAAGGAAGAGAGGCCCGCCGTTTTGAGATAATGTGAAGATCTCAGAGAGGGACAGAGCACAGTATAGCAAGAATGTTCTCTGGAGGTAAAGTTCTGTGCTTTGTCCAAAAAGCTGAAGGAAAGAGAAGAAGAGCGCTTCCTGAAGTGGTTGGCCATGGAGCTCAAGTTGGAGAAGATGCGTCAGAAGTGGTACAGGAAACTCCCGTGCTGCTTATTCCTCTAAACATACATTGGGGGAATAGGTCAGGTCTTACATGGGGAGTAGAACATTTTGTTTTTGAAATGTTGCAGTTATCTTGACCAGTTAAATGGTGTGTTCACACATTTATGGGTAAATATCGTAAGACGCGTGAAAGTTCCCATGTTATTCAATCAAAGGAGGCACAAACTCACTTCAGTCTTTCTTCCAGGTGTGCTGTATTAAGATCATAGGAAATGCAGCGAGGGCCATTAGATGCTGCTTGTGGCTATAATTACTATTGTGTTAAATGTGTACAAAATATCTGACTTACTGTATCATAATAAAGAAGCAAGTATAAAATACTGTATATTCTAGTGCAAGAAATATATAATTGTATGTAAACATCTGTACAGGTTAGCAACATGAGGCTATGGGACAAAGTGAGACAGTAAAGAGTCAGTGTCACATGTGGTTCTATACTGGAAATAAAAGATCAAGATTTTGCAGTTTCTGATCTTTAAACTCTAATTACATTTGAACAGTCCTGTTTAAGACGTTCAGTTCTCGATGAGTCCTCGTTGTTGAAATCCAGTGGACGTAACAAAAATAACAATATTCAGACATTTCAATTGGACATGAAATCTCAGAATTTATGTATGTATTTATTTTTGTTGTCATCTTTGTCACGTTGCCAGGTTGGAGAAGCTGCTTTTCCGACTGCAGAGTGTAGTTTTGGCTGCACATTTCCTGGGGATTCCCATGTGAACGAGGACCGTCGCAGCCAAAAAGCATTATGCATGTATTCATATGTGTGTGTGGCAACGGGAGCCAGCAGGAGAGCGTCCAAAAGCCACTCTGAGCAGCCTCCAGCACGCCTCTGTGGACTGCACATGCTTCAGACGGGACTGCGGGAGCGAGGATGAGCTGCTGCTCCTGGCCACTAGGGGGGGCTCCTTTAAAGGACACGTTCTATGCTCTTTTTTAAGGCTTTTTAATACATTGTCGCTCTGGGCCGGGCGATTTGACCTTATAGGAAATATGCTCAATTTTCAATTCAATTTTGATTTTTTTCTTTTTGCCCTTGCCTTCTATCTTTAGTAGTGCAGTAAATTACCTAAAATTTTTAATTTTAGCTGGGAGCTAACTGCTAACAGAGCTGCTAAAGCTGCAGCATACCAGCGGCACACAACTTCAAAAGTCTGTGAGCCACTGTAGTTTAGCGTGGTCATAGAAGTATTGATGGTCCACAAACGCTGCTCCACTGCGCAACTCTGCAGAAGACTGAAATCTACAGAAGCCCGCGGACACGCACGAGTCGTAGAAAATCCTCAAAACATTACATTTTAGAATAATACATCTTTTTATTTTTATACAGCACTTTTTGGGACACTCAAAGACACATGTCACAGTGGCGCAGTTACCTCTCTCTTCTCAGAGATGGTTCTGTGTTCGAATCCCCGTCAGAATAGGGGTTTTCTAAGTGGAGTTTGTATGTTTTCTCTGTGTCTGCGTAGGTTTCCTCCGGTGCTTCTGTTTCCACTGGGTTTCCAAGCGTTTTGCGACGCTGGTCTGTGAAAGGCGCCATATAAATAATGATTACTTACTTACTCATTATTTATTCACTCTGTACACGGTGGCGTTAAATTACAACTTTAGCCACAGCTGCCCTGGGGTGCGCTGACAACCACCAAACACACCGGACCCTTTCCAGGCTTTGCCCTGCTTAGCTTCAGAGGTCTGATGGAATCCGTCTAATGGTGCTTTTGGACCGAAAACGCTCAAACGCTGAAGCCTCGCTCACCAGACGCGCATTCTCTAGTTTTCAGACGCACAGGTCTTCACACCAGAACGTCCTGACCAGCGCTGGAAGTGGCGGAAGTAGCCGGCCGGCTCTGATGCTAACTGAGTTATGCTAGCAGCTTCTCGTGTAAAGAGCTTCTCCAATAATGCAGCTTTGCAGCGTGTCTGTGTTCAGAGACCTTCCACGGACTTTATATAACAGTAGTATGTGTTAACCATTGACTTTGCATTGAAAGCCGACACAAAGCACCATGACACATGCAGATCAGTGTCCTGTTGCCCCTAATCAACCAAGTGCCGTATTTTTGCCAGTGGGATCCAATACTTTACTCGTTAATTATTTGAATGCTGTACAAAACAATACTAACCTCAAAAACTCCCAAATCTAAATGAATCACAAACAGAGTGAGCTGTAAACCAAATGTATTCCCCATAATTAGTTTAGCAAATTCCTCCATTCAATATAATTCTTCAGGAGTGCATTCCCACTTCAATCTTAAAACTCCAGTTAGATCGCGGCTTGTTCGATGTTGACTAAAAAAACTGAATGTTATTTTACACTTATACAACCAGATCACCAATTTGTTCCAGACGTTCTTGATATTAAAATATTGAAGCTAATAAACACTCGATGTGTGTGTTTTTAATGAGGAACAGTGTCGAGACATGGTGGTGTGCCTGCGTGCGGTCTTTATAATATATTTGGTAGGGCTGGGCGATATAAACGATATAAGCGGTATGCGATAGCGGCATATTGCGATCATTATGTCATTAAATCGGTGGGTTGTACGTGGAAGTTGCACAGGAAGAACATTTCCCGACTAAGAACAATGTAAACATCCACTGATTCTGAGTTAAAATGCTCTTTTTCTGTGGCGTGTACAGTTGTGGCAACTGCTCATATCAAGTGGGGAACTTATGGAGTCTCTACTTTGCAAAAAAATGTTTCTCTAACGGGTGTTAATTTTTCGGGAGAAATGCACCAGCATTAGCATTAGCCTGCGTAGCATCTGCGGCCGCAGACACAGCTGACAGTCCGCAGTCTTTACACAGTATTCGCTCACTTTCACAGATACAATGCAGTATTTTTGTGTGGTATACGGTTGTAGTAACCGAGGCAACGGAAAGAAAGAACTGTTAAATACATTTTCTAATTGCTAACAGTTTACTGCGGTTAGCTTAACGCTATTAGCTTAATGTTACAGAGCTCCCCCAGAGGTCTGTACTTTTTGTTATTTACAGCTCAAAAATTCACCAAAATGTTTAAATATTTATTGTATTATTGATGAGAACTATCATCTCAGACGTGTTTCTGTTGATACCAGAGTGACTCCACTGTCGTCACTATAACAGCCTTAATCTTTCTTATTGTTGAAAAAATTTGACTCATTCAAACACTACAAAGCGTACGCTGCATTAAAAATAGTTTTCACTCATATTAAGAGTGATACTAAGCCGCGAAAAGCTCCTGTGTCTGTGTTTAGCAAGATTGCCCGTTCTATATGATGGGAGAAAAATACTTCCTGTCCCATACTACCCATGCCCCGCCCCCTTTTGGTCACGTGGTTGAAACCCAGCGATGCTGCTGGGAAGTTAAAGTTTTATACTGTTCTGTATAATTGCAGTTTTGCACAATACATTTAAATAAGTAATAATCTAGGCCTATATTGAAATGCACACACCAAAATATACCGCAGTATGAATTTTTGGCCATATCGCCCACACCCAATACATAGTTCCCACATGACGTCACTACATACGGGGATTTGCCGACCCGGCGACATTTGTGTTGGCATTCTGTGGGCAAAACAATAGAAAAAGAAGCTGAAAAGTGTTAATGTCGTGATAAAGTTGAAAATGGTCGTCTCCTGCTGGGTCAATGGATGTTCAAATCGTGCCGGAGGTTCCGTTAAACTTGGATTTTACAGTATACCCATCATTAGACTTCATGAATGTGAGAAGACTAAGCTTTTGTCAGAACAACCACGGAGGTTATGGCTTGCGAAGATAAACAGGCAAGAAACTCCCTCAAAACACGCAAGAATATGCTCGGAGCACTTTGTGTCAGGTGCGTATCGTATCTTATAATGTGTTGACAGACGTAATTTACTCAGTACTAACTTGTGTATGCTGATATCTGGTAACTTGAGAGTTTCATTATTTAGCGTTAGATTACTTTATTATGAGGAGGATCGGTGTCGCGTCCGAGGCTCTCGAGGGCAACGTAAATGTATTAAATAGATAATAATAGTTCTATGGTGGGCTAAAACAATGTTCACAAACAGCATTGCTTCTGTAAAAAGATCTGTGTCATAAAATAAACTGCTCTTTACGCCTGGAAAAATCAGTTGCCCACCATTCACCAAAACATACGGTCAAAAACGGGGAAATAAACAATAACAGCAATCCAGAGTGTCCGTGTGGCATTAGCATTAATTAAATTAATTGTTAATATAATTAAAATAATTAAATGGAGCTCCAACTGGTCTATTAAATCTAAAGTTTTTGAGAAATGTTTGCATTGCTTGTTAATTTTTGCTGCATAATTTGATCAAATATGTAAAACATGTCCGTAGCACGTTAAACTGTGGTGCCATTGTATTAATATACAATTATTTGCTCAAAAGTTGCCCTTTTTTTTCCAATTTGCGTTTGAATATCTACATTTATTCTCATTCTTCTGTTTAATGGAATGCACAAACACAGCAGCGTGCCATCAAAGATGGCGTCTCCGAGGAGGTCATGTGACATTCATTGGTCTGTGGGAACTATGTATATGTGGTTTGGGGTGGGTCTGTTGGGGGGGGGGGGGCGGGCGGTCATGGGCATGCGGGATAGTTATTGACCAGACTAAAGCACTTTGTGTTGCGTCTTCTGTGTGAAAAGCGCTTTATAAATACAATTTGATTGAAAACAAACATGAATGTATTAATGAGACATGAATACAAATACTGCATCATTAGTTGTTTGAGAAGACTGGATATTGATTTTCAATTATTTTTATTAACTTACAGCATTGATGGTGATGGGTGACCACTGCATGTTACAGTTAATCTATTTTCTGATTATTTATTATTGTATTCAAACATTTTAACCCAACACACCATCAAAAGATAAATTGTTAAATATACCATCCATCCATCCATTTTCTACCCCTTAATCCATTTCTGGGTCGGGGGGATGGCAGTCAGAGATGCCACCCAAGTCTCCAAACCCTCTTCACTGATCCTCCTGCAGGTGGTGAGTCCACAGGAGGACAGTTGCTCTATAAGTGTGGGCAGTAAATATACAATTCTCCAATTTATAAATAATATAAATCTAAACAACAAACACATTTTGTTTTCAGATAAATCAAACCAGAAACTCATGTCAAAATACCTTCATACTGTAAAAAAAAAAACAATTATAAGAAAATCAAATAGTTTCTAGTTCCTTATTTTTTTCTAAATTCGGCCCCTGACCAAAGTGAGTTTCACACTGATCTACAACATCAGCAGATAAACTCCTCTCTCCTCCTCCACTTTCACCCTGAGCTGTCAATCACAGGCTGTTGGTGTAAATGTGCCGTCCCTCGACACCTTCTGAGTCTGTGGAAAGATCTACTCCCAGGATCAAAACAGATTAGACCCCAATGATCAAATCTGTCTGTATTCTGGAGGCTGTTTCTGAGGAGAGAGGGCTGAGCAGCGTCTCAAACTGAGCTACTGTAAATGATTATATATATCCACTAGAACACTTTTTACCTGAGAGAAAGTATATCTACATTTTGTTGAATTTGAAATCAGCACAATGAGCATGGTATTTACCACGAGTTCTCCCAGAATTCTGAAACTAGAACCGGCAGAGTTTTCCACAAGTTTTACCTTTCAGTCTTTACCTTTAGTCACTTTTAATTAGTGCTAAACATTGTAAAAATAACGGGGAAAAAAACAGTTGACTGAAAGGTGACCAAACACTACTCTAGTCCAGGAGCAGTCCAGGAGCAGTCCAGGAGCAGTCCAGGAGCAGTCCAGGACCAGTCCAGGACCAGTCCAGGACCAGTCCAGGAGCAGCCCATGAGGGTCTTTAAAGGTGTAATTTTTAGTGCCATCTTGCGTTAGATTTTTAGTGCCATCTTATATTGCAATCCAAGGTACTAATGAAGCCTTTGAGTTGAGGCTCAACTCTCAGTCATTCACCAGACTGCCAAGGAATGAATACTTTAGTTTGCACTTGACAGTTGTGAGGAGGCGAGATGTAAACAAGACCACGTCCTGAAGCAATGTTGGAAATGAGGCATAACAAATCTCTCACTTCTAAGAGTTAAAGGACATTTATTAAAGTATTCAAGAGAGCTGCAGTGAAGTTCATATAGATAGATAGATACTTTATTGATCCCCATAGGAGAAATTCAGATGTCCAGTAGCAGTACCAGTATAAAACCATGAACACTGAACTGCAGCAACATAAATAAAAATAAAAATTGTAAAGCACCGTTTTCCAGCGCATTCAATACGGCGAGAGAGATGAGAATTTAACAAAGACACACTGCACTTTAGTCCCATCATGTTTAAGAATCGGCAATAATGCACCATATTTCCTCTTTAAAACCCAGTCCAAGACCGAAGCATGATGAAGCTCCCAGAATGCCATGCAGCTGTTCGCGTGAGCGTTTGTGCTGATCCTGGTGTGAGATTTGCGGAGCAGCCGGGCATCCCACAATGCACTGCTTCACTAGACTCCAATCATCGCAGTGTCCGTGCCGAGGCCACGTCCGGTCAGTCCTTCTCCAAAGGTCATACGTCACACACAGTAATGGAACCAGCCGGGCAGAACGGTACGCACACACCCTCGAGTTCACCGGGGGAAGTCCTGATGCATCCTGGGTGGTCCCATGTGTCGCCTCCCGGTGGGGCAAGACATTACAAAGTTGTCGACTCTCCAACAACAGATCAGAGAATCAAGCAGTGTTTACGCTGGAGCGGCTTTGGTCCAAAGTAGGTTTTATTCATAGTTATTGTTTGAGATGTCTTCTGGAGAGAAAAACAAGAAGCTTTCTAATAAGATGTTGTGGTCTGGATAGTTCAAATCATCTAATTTTGTTGGGAAAAACAACATTGTTTAGGTTTTATTTGGGATCCCCATTAGGCTGCTAATCTTACTGGGGTCCCAGTTAAGGTGAATGTATTACAAAAAACATAAAATTAAACAATACATTAATTAATTAATGAATTGCCATCATATTAAAGGCATGAAGCAATCCATTATAATGATGCATTGATGATATTTGAGTATTCTTTAAAACATGCAAAGAAGATTGATCCCTCATCTCCCTGGGCAGTTTTTTGCAATGATTTTGTTCTGGGCCGATTGACGCCAAGTCAGCATTATGAGCCCGCCGAGTATGGGAGTGAATCTGATGCACATACAGTATGTGATTTTTTTCAGACATTAGTCACAATTATCTTTTTCAGAAATATTAAAAGGTTGTACTGTACTTATTGTGAACCATAGGCCAAGATTAAATGTAATGCATGTGTTTTTTATGAAACAAAAAGTTAGCTAACTCAATTTTAAACCACTGAAACTACATGATTACACGTTTGAAACGTTTATATTGGCAGAAAAGGTGGAAGATGCTTGAAATTGATCCACACTCCGATCAATTATCATTTCCTACATGTACGTCTGAGTCTGATCCTAGTGGCTGCAGTTACCTCGGTTGTACTCCCTCTGACCATTCAGCGAGCGCGGGAGGCGGGTGTTGTAGGCAGGTGTTGTAGGTGGGTGTTGTAGGTGGGTGTTGTAGGTGGGTGTTGTAGGCGGGTGTTGTAGGTGGGTGTTGTAGGTGGGTGTTGTAGGCAGGTGTTGTAGGCAGGTGTTGTAGGCGGGTGTTGTAGGTGGGTGTTGTAGGCAGGTGTTGTAGGTGGGTGTTGTAGGCAGGTGTTGTAGGCGGGTGTTGTAGGCGGGTGTTGTAGGTGGGTGTTGTAGGCAGGTGTTGTAGGTGGGTGTTGTAGGCGGGTGTTGTAGGCGGGTGTTGTAGGTGGGTGTTGTAGGTGGGTGTTGTAGGCAGGTGTTGTAGGCGGGTGTTGTAGGCAGGTGTTGTAGGCAGGTGTTGTAGGCGGGTGTTGTAGGTGGGTGTTGTAGGCAGGTGTTGTAGGCGGGTGTTGTAGGCGGGTGTTGTAGGTGGGTGTTGTAGGCAGGTGTTGTAGGTGGGTGTTGTAGGCAGGTGTTGTAGGCGGGTGTTGTAGGTGGGTGTTGTAGGTGGGTGTTGTAAGCAGGTGTTGTAGGTGGGTGTTGTAGGCGGGTGTTGTAGGCAGGTGTTGTAGGCAGGTGTTGTAGGCAGGTGTTGTAGGCGGGTGTTGTAGGTGGGTGTTGTAGGTGGGTGTTGTAAGCAGGTGTTGTAGGTGGGTGTTGTAGGCGGGTGTTGTAGGCGGGTGTTGTAGGTGGGTGTTGTAGGCGGGTGTTGTAGGTGGGTGTTGTAGGCGGGTGTTGTAGGTGGGTGTTGTAGGCGGGTGTTGTAGGTGGGTGTTGTAGGCAGGTGTTGTAGGTGGGTGTTGTAGGCAGGTGTTGTAGGCGGGTGTTGTAGGTGGGTGTTGTAGGCCGGTGTTGTAGGCGGGTGTTGTAGGCAGGTGTTGTAGGCAGGTGTTGTAGGTGGGTGTTGTAGGCAGGTGTTGTAGGTGGGTGTTGTAGGCAGGTGTTGTAGGGCGGGTGTTGTAGGTGGGTGTTGTAGGCATGGGGGTGTTGTAGGCAGGTGTTGTAGGGGGGTGTTAGGAGTGTTGTAGGGGTGTGTAGGGTGGGGTTGTGTTGTAGGTGGGTGTTGTAGGCGGGTTGTAGGGTTGTAGGTGGGTGTTGTAGGCGGGTGTTGTAGGTGGGTGTTGTAGGGGTGTTGTAGGTGGGTGTTGTAGGTGGGTGTTGTAGGTGGGTGTTGTAGGCGGTGTTGTAGGTGGGTGTTGTAGGCAGGTGTTGTAGGTGGGTGTTGTAGTGGGTGTTGTAGGCGGGTGTTGTAGGCGGGTGTTGTAGGCGGGTGTTGTAGGTGGGTGTTGTAGGCAGGTGTTGTAGGCGGGTGTTGTAGGTGGGTGTTGTAGGCAGGTGTTGTAGGCGGGTGTTGTAGGTGGGTGTTGTAGGCAGGTGTTGTAGGTGGGTGTTGTAGGCAGGTGTTGTAGGCGGGTGTTGTAGGCAGATGTTGTAGGCGGGTGTTGTAGGTGGGTGTTGTAGGCAGGTGTTGTAGGCGGGTGTTGTAGGCGGGTGTTGTAGGTGGGTGTTGTAGGCAGGTGTCGTGACGTCAAGAGTTTGCGCAGAATTTGCAGGTTGTAGTTTGGAAATGGGGCGACAGTGGCACAGTTGGTAGAGCATTGGCCTTTGAGCCTGAAGGTCGTGGGCTCAACCCCACCTCGAGACCTTCTCCATTCCCACTTATGTCTGCTGTCATTGTGTCCTTGGGCAAGACACTTACCCCACTTTGCCTGAAGCCCCCGCTGAAAGATCCAGCCATACTCCTCTGGACTCACCACCTGCAGGAGGATCAGTGAGGGGCTGGTGCTATATGACTCTGGTGGCATCTCTGATTGCCACCCCCCGACCCAGAAATGGGGGTATGGGGTGAAAATGGATGGATGGTTTGTTTGGAAATGGCGACAAATGCGATAGTAAAGTAATCTGTTCAGTTCGGCTCCAAATATCAAGAATTTGAAGGCGGAGGAATGTTTAGCAAATGTAATTGCTGCAAAGAGTTTGTGGCTCTACTTCCCAAGGGCTCTTAGTGGCAAAGGAGATGGCTAAAGCTAGGCTAAATGCTAAAGGCCTCACTCACTCGGGTGCATTACATACGTCACGGTAAACTCAGATCCAATCTTTTCAATCTGCAAAAGAAGTTAACTCCTCCCACCTATTAACAGAGCTCAAGGGAGCAAATCCAGACCTTAGTATGACACAGCGCTTGAAATAAGTTTTGCTTTTCTCCTAAAAGAAACATGAAATGTCTGCCTGTCCCACTGGTAAATCTTGTTATACGACATTCAAAACTTACATGAATCCTGCATTATTTATTCTTTCCTGCATTGTAACCAGTGGGGGCGGGTCCCAGCTCAAAAGTGGCCAAAACGACGTGCGCTGACATGCTGCAATACCACCCCGGGCCGATGGGGGTGGACCCAGAAGAAGAATTAGCCAATGCTAACATATAGCATTGGCAGACCTCTCAAAAACGTCTTTACAGGATGGTCCAAAAGTTGGCTCTTGGCCCAAAGCTCCGTTCCACATGTGTGTCAATGCTGAGGGGGGTGAATTTTTTTGGACCACTCTAGTTTACTCGCTGTGAATTTTTGAAGTCTCTCGTTAATATATACAGTCTATGATTGTAACATGGGCTGACTATTCAGAAGGCCTGATTTATAGACCTGCACTTTGATAGACCGGACTTTGAGGATGTGCGGACCGCAGGGAGAGTACTGTGTTGTGTTTTATGTCGTGTTGGGGAGTGGGGGAGGCTGTGATGCTGTATGTGAAGAGTATGTTTTATTGATCGGCCGACGTTTTAACAATGAACATTTTTGTCAAGTCAATAGAGCTATAGTAGGAAAATGTCAACTCCTGAGGCGGGCTGCTTCTTCCAGCTCATAACAGGTTCGTAAGCAGCTCTAAACAGCTCCACATTCCACCTGCCCCACACCAAGACGTCCAGGAGCCAGAGCAGGCCGAGAGCCGGACGAGGAGAGCGTTTGTTTTCTGCCTTTTCACCACTTTCTCTCTGTTTTCCTCCAAATCCCCAGCTTCATTTCCATCTCCTCCTCCCGCTCCGCTCTGACGGTAGATCGATGCCCTGGGCTGCTTTGCGGGCCGTGAGGGGGGGCAAAGGTATCGGATTCTTCCAGGTAAAAGAGAAAAGCGTTAGGCGCTAATGGGCTCCTGGGCGGCCATCTTGGGAAGGTCACACTCACACACAGACACACAACCGCACACACACACCTGATTTATTGTGACGTCAATAAATGATCAGGTGAAGAGAGGGGGGTATCCTAAAGCAGGGTCTCCAGCAGGATTCCCTCGGTGCGCTGCTGTTGGTTATATCAAATTGAGTCTATTCAACCCAATGTATTTTCGCAGAGTCCAAAGTCAGGTCGTCTCTTGTTACCATAGCGATCGTAAAGCTAACGTGATGAGGACAATGGTCTTTTTCTCTCTTTAAGCTATTGATCTGTTACAACATTGTTCACCAACAAAACAGACCTGGAGTTGTGTTTGTTATCATTATAGAAGTGTGTCTGTCTATAGAATTAAATGTAGTAATTCTTTAAATCTGCACTTTCCAAACCCATGCCTAGCTGCCAATAGTCGCTATCAAGACCGAAGTCCTCTGAGTTGTAAACACTTTGCCACAAAAACCTGCACTCAGAGAGAAAACGCGCTCATTCTGATGTGATGTTGACATTTGCTGCTTCTTTTTATTATATTCTATTTTTTGACATATCAAAGTATAGTACATGTGTGAAGAACAATACTCAAACATACAGTAAGGCACGGTGGCTGAGTGGATAGCACTCTCGCCTCTCAGCAAGAAGGTCCTGGGTTCGAATCCCGGTTGGACCAGGGCCTTTCTGAGTGGAGTTTGCATGTTCTCCCCGTTCTGCGTAGGTTTCCTCCGGGTGCTTAGGTTTCCCCTACCACTAAAAATATGTACAATAGGTCTGGCATGTGCCTCCTGTACTGGCACCCCCACTCCCAAAAATGACAATTGTAAACAGCTTTGAGACTCCGATGTGCAGATAAAGATTACTACTTGTAAATATGTATTTCAATATTCATAAAAAGAACACATTTCAGTATCATTTTTAGTCTTTCGCTTTCACTCACAAACATTGCTTTTGTCAAACTGATGCAGAAAAGTTAGTGTTTTTCTGTTTAATCTAATTTTCTTGATAATACAGATTTAGAAATGTGGCTGTATGTAAACGACTAATGTCTGATGAAGGGTAGTTTTTGCCCGAAACGTCACATCTTGTGGTGCTAACAAAATAATCTTTTGGGAGCTAAAGCTGAGCAGACTCATATCCATTTTTTCATCTACTATTCTCGACTTTTTGCACACTACTCAAATTTGGATGTCTGCCTCAACCTCGCACTTGTATTTAAACTGCCCGAGAATGAACAAGCCCTGACCCTGGAATAAAACAATAATAAGGATATCTATATATAAATATGTGACGGGACATAAAGCCACAGCTGAAATCTCTCAGATGAAACCATTTTTGATCAATATCGTGGCATTAAAGTCACTAAACTGCAACAATTATGTACGCTGCTGTTGAATCTGTTGTTCCTCCTAAACCCATAAAAGATGTCCTTTTGAAAAACAGCCTTCCTCTTCCATTCTTATGTCGCATTCGCCGCCGTAGTTTCATCACCTCGTGGCGTCCGCAGAGACCTCCTTCTCTCCTCTCCTAATACTGTCAAACAAAATCATTTTCTCTATCGTAAACATGAAACCGCGTGCACCCGCCGGAGGAGACGGCAAAGACAGGAAATGCAGCATGTGTCTGAGCTCCGGGCCTGGAAAATGTCGCATTTAAAAGGAACAAAAAGAGCAGTAATCTAACGTGGAAAATGGTTATTAAAAAGGTACAACGGGCCTGCAGGTGTAATATTCTCATGGAGACGGAAGATGATGGAATTCATATCGAAAGACAAAAAGTTCACAAAGACAACATTGAAGAATAAATAGAATGCATTATTTGTGTTCATTTTATCCCTTAAACATGACATGTAAATATTAACACGATCGTGAAGCAGAAAAACGGATCCACACATTTGTCACCTCAAAGCTTGACAACTGTACGCCCTGATGCCAAAGTGCAAATTTAAGTAAGTATTGTTTATTTATATAGCGCATTTTACAGACCAAGGTCTCCCAAAGCGCTTCACAATGTTCAGAGTTCAGATATTGTTCCAATCACTCCACACACGGTGATGATGGAAGCGAGTCGCCGAACACACTGGTGTCGGATGTGGTAAAACAAGTTCTCTGGATCCGGTTTTAAAAGAAGACCACTGGATTAAAAGCAAATTAAAACAATTTTTTATAAAACGCATAAAAAACAAGTAAAAGAATAAAAAGCCATAAAAACCTAAGATAAAACCAGAGGCTAAAAGTAGGCTTAAAAACTTTATCTTGGCTACGGCCTGGGCTTCCAGACCAGGGGGCTTTCCCTTCGCCGTGTCTGGCTCCGTGTCCCACTCTCTGGCTCCTTCTGTCTCACTCTCTGGCTCCTTCTGTCTCACTCTCTGGCTCCGTGTCTCACTCTCTGGCTCATTCTGTCTCACTCTCTGGCTCCTTCAGTTGCACTCTCTGGCTCCTTCTGTCTCACTCTCTGGCTCCTTCTGTCTCAGTCTCAGGCTCCTTCTGTCCCACTCTCTGGCTCCTTCTGTCTCACTCTCTGGCTCCTTCTGTCTCACTCTCTGGCTCCTTCTGTTGCACTCTCTGGCTCCTTCTGTCTCACTCTCTGGCTCCTTCTGTCTCAGTCTCAGGCTCCTTCTGTCCCACTCTCTGGCCCCTTCTGTCTCACTCTCTGGCTCCTTCTGTTTCACTCTCTGGCCCCTTCTGTCTCACTCTCTGGCTCCTTCTGTCTCACTCTCTGGCCCCTTCTGTCTCACTCTCTGGCCCCTTCTGTCTCACTCTCTGGCTCCTTCTGTTTCACTCTCTGGCTCCTTCTGTTTCACTCTCTGGCCCCTTCTGTCTCACTCTCTGGCTCCTTCTGTCTCACTCTCTGGCTCCTTCTGTCTCACTCTCTGGCTCCTTCTGTCTCACTCTCTGGCTCCTTCTGTCTCACTCTCTGGCTCCTTCTGTTTCACTCTCTGGCCCCTTCTGTCTCACTCTCTGGCTCCTTCTGTTTCACTCTCTGGCCCCTTCTGTCTCACTCTCTGGCTCCTTCTGTCTCACTCTCTGGCCCCTTCTGTCTCACTCTCTGGTTCCTTCTGTCTCACTCTCTCGCTCCGTCTGTCTCACTCTCTGGCTCCTTCTGTCTCTGGCCCCTCCCCATCTCCTTTTGTACTCAAGGCACAGGTGTTCTAATTGTCGTCACGTGGGAAGCCGGGGTGCTACGGGTGGTTAAAAAGTTAAAAACCGTGTTAAAAACAGACACACAACATGCATAAAAATATGAATAAAACCGTATTAAAACCCACCACCCATTTTGCACCCACCGACACTGGCGCATCAAAGCCATTCACTCACTCATTCAGACCTATTGTGCATGTTTTTAGTGGTAGGGGAAACCGGAGCACCCGAACAGATACAGGGAGAACATGCAAACTCCACTCAGAAAGGCCCTGTTTTGACCGGGATTCGAACCCAGGACCTT